ATGTTTGAGTTTTTACCTATCTTTATACTATTTCTTAATAAGTAATCTATTTTTGATTTATAGATTACTCATGCAATAAAATGCTACGTAAAGCTTGGTTATGAAATTAAAGTAGGGAAGGATATAGAAGAAGCGATAAAGAATCTCTCTGGAACGCACGTTGCAGAAATAACACCTAATCGAGAATCTGGTAACTATATTATTACAAGTCACTCTCATTATAGTAAACTCTCGATATAGTAAATTTTTTATTAATGAACAGACTACTTTACTATAATGAGTTTGATTTGTACATAATTTAATATTAATGCAGTATTAATTTCAAAGATTTAATGGTAAAGGAAAACCAAAATTTGGGACGATTCCTGGTATCACATCTTGGAATGAGTGGAAATGGCCTGATGATGAAAATGAAGCAGGTTTTATTTGCGCACGTAGATTACCAGGTTTTGGCCGATGGAATATATTTTCGCCAGCAACAATTGAAAAAAATAGTAAAAAGCCATCAGATTATAAAGCCTCAATTAACAGTGCCAATGCATTCAATACCAATCAAATCATGGATTAAACCTATCCCAGGGTCAACAAAACTGATAACTCAAAAAGAAAATAATTTGGATTCTTTCTATGTGAGTATTAATAATGAAGCCTCATTATTTATTAATAAAGGTTATAAGTTTTTTTTTTTTCTTCTCTGAACTGGAATTTTAAAAGGATACAGAGTGTTTTCCATTTATAGACTTAACGAATGTGTTATCACAAAGTAACCAGGTGTCATTTGCAAGGTATAATTGAAAGAATATACTGAACATTTTTGATGATAAATAACTAATAATTTATTTCATTTAGTCATAAATTTTTTAAACTGGGTTGGGCGCAAAAAGAAAATCAGAAATTAAGCCAAAAAAATGGATTTGCTAGGATAGCACCTCGTGCAAAGTTATTGATGGAGACAATGTTCATTACAGGAACAGTGGATAGGAAAAAAAAAATGAATGCTCTTCAAATGTGCCAAGAATTACAGGAACAAGCAAATAAAGGTGAACTCGAACCTGAAGAAATTCCGAAGCTTTCAACTGTGCAAAACTGGATCACCAAAACTGCGTTAGTTATGAAGCAAAAACTTGCTAAACAA